GTGGCTGAAATAATCAAGTGCACGACGCTTTATTGGTTGTTGTGTAGCCGCACAGCTTAGGGGGAACACTGGTCCTTGGTATTAAAGAGGTTGAGAAATTATTTTTTACACCATGGTAAAACTACAGTGATGTTAGCTGAAATCTAAGGATCTTTCATGCTTTATATTTATGTTCAACTGAATTACACAAACAAATACTGGATTCATGTTGGGGATATACTCAGCTATCATCACTCAGTTCTACCCAGAAGACATCATCTTCAGTATTTTTTTGTGGGTGTGGGTAGGAATAAGAATTTAACCTGTTTGAGTTGTGACTGCTTGCAAATACTCCTTGGTTTTAACTGTATTTTCAAAGCACTTGCTATTTCCCAGAGCTAAGATTGTATTTTTCTCAGTAAAACTGTTTTATTTGCTTGATCTTTTCTATATGTCTACTCACAACTTTTCATTTTTTAAATGACCTTAGCAAACAGTTTTAAGGCACAAGCTAGGGAGTCACAAACGAGAAAAAACTTTGATCAGCATTTTGAAGAATAAAGTAAGGTAAATGTTCAGAAAATTATAAAAAACATTCTGGATCAGAGATCAGCATTGTTTATATCGAGAACTATGTCACTAAACCTTTCTGTGGGCACTAGAGATGACTCTTAGTTAGCCTGCATGAAATCCATCAGTCAGTTTACAGGTGCCATTGATAACATGAAAAAAAAGCATAATACAATTTCAAACAGTGAAATGTGAATTCCCTAAATTGAGTCAATGCTGTCAAAGCACGTATGCTCTTTTTGAGATATTGTGAGAACATAGAGACAGAACAAGATGAGGATCCTTTAACAAGAAATCTATGAATAGAAAAGGATTACCTCTTGATATTGAGCCATAATCAGCCTTTAAAATGTCAGCTGGCCTATAAATGAAGTGTCACAAAGTTCCCTGTGCATCAGAGACTTCTATTAATCAGCAATTTGAAGACTAGGTGTCCAAAGCCTATAACATTCACAAAGAGGACAATTATTCACAATAAAAGGCTGTTTTTCTCCATTGTATTTGGCAATGGAAAAGAATATGTCTATACGGTAGAGTTGACCAACTACTTCAGTAAACTATGAGGGTATCAATTACATAAATTAGTGTCTAAAAAAATGCAGTTATGATTAAATCAGTTAATGTCATGAAAGTAATCAAAATTATTATTTGCAATTCTTAATGTTTCTGATACGATATCTTACCTCCATTCACAAAATAGCTTTTCTCAATTAATACTGCCATCTATTAACACAAATTCTGAATGCTCACCACTAACCTTCCACTTCCTACTTCTGCATATCCATGTAAATGGTTATGCAGCAGCTCTCCACTAATAGGAGTACAACACAATCCCTATTGTAACCAGGGCCCTCTCCACATTTGCAGTTGTTAATCACTTCTTGATTGGCAGTAGTACAGACTTAGTTTTCTTTGCTATGTTTTTGTTATTTATTTATTTACAGGGGCCTTTTTGTTAGTGTATTGTCTATCCCACTCTGTGGCGAATGGTGCTTGACCAGGTATACTTTTTTTTTTTAATTTGTACTGTTCATCCTGTGACCATTCTCAGTGTCAGTTATGTTGCAGCTCTTCCTACCATGGACCTGATGTACAATTTCAGGTGTTGATTGTGTGTCTCCGTTCAATTATCATCTATGCCAAAACTATTACATTGCAGGATTAGGTTACACACACTGTAGAGATGGGGTGTTCCATAGGACCACTACTAGTTTTTCTCTTTAGCTTCATAAACATGTTCATCCTAGGCCATACACTCATGGACATACATGAGTAAAGCATTGACATTCTTCCTACTGCAGATCTTATGTACAATTCCAAATGCTGCTGGGTGTTGGTTAATCTACTCCTTTGACATGGTAGCTCTTCTTTTCAAAATAGGATATTGTGATCACCCTTTGTACTGTCTCCAGTGATGTGGTCCTCCTTTCTTCTATTGAAGTATGGGAGTCCTTGCCATTTACCAGTTCCTAGCCACTGGGGTAGTGGACCATGGAGGTCTGTCCTCCTGAGTGATGCATGATACCACTCAGTTGAGAGTAGGGTGGTGGCATTCTGTGGGTATCGATAGCATTTCCTACCATGGACCTGATGTACAATTCCAGATACTGCCAGGTTTTGGTTGTAGCACTACACCATGTTAATATATATATATATATATTTATATCTGGTAGATTGCTTTTTCCCACCATGAAGGCATTCCTCCTTCCTTCCATCCTCTAGATGTACATTCCCGGTAGGTCTGGTGTTGATTGGAGATGGCCTGGTCATGATTAGAATCGTGTATCGATGTCCTAATGCCCTTCCTACCACGGACCTGATGTACAATTTCAGATACCACAAGGTATATGTTGAAGCATATCACAAATATATATATGTTGCAATTTGCCTCTCGGGCTGAGATGTTTCTTCAACCTACCATTCTCTGGATGCTGTTGAATGGAGATTGTTCAGCTACATAAGTTCTCCCATGTGATATGGCTGGTATTCTTCCTTCTGCTGAGGAGTGGATGAAAAATGCCCAATGCTGCCAGTTTTGGACTGGAGATACACTCTAGGTTTGCGGCCCCTCTTCCTTCCAACCATCTGCTGGACGTCAATTCGTGGTGGATCAGGTGTTGGTTGCACTAGAAATGTGTGCAAGTGGAGACAGATTTTGGTACGGAAGCTCATCTTTCCAACCAATTCCAGATACCACCTGTTGTTGGATGAGCTCGATCTACCACTACTGTCTGTTGCACCCTAGCCACCCAACACCCAGTGATCCCATTAATTGGTAATATGTATTATGGGATTGCTTCATGTTTTTCCGCCTTTTGTATATTTGCAACACAGTCATAAAAGATGTGGTGCAGTTTCCTGCTGAGATGTGGTATTTTCTTTTTTTGGTTCCACACCTCATGGTCTCTCTTTGGGCACTTACTAAAGGGGAATCACTTTTTCACTATCCCTCCTACAGTTCAATGTCAGATTCTCGCTACTTTGTGAGTGGAGGTAATATACTGTATCATAAGTTAACATTTTCCTAAACTGAAAATGTATTTCCAATATATACTTACCTCTTCTCACATTTCCCACCCAGTCTCCCTACTTCCAATGATATGTAGTATAGGTCCTCTGACCAATCTCAAAGTGATTAATGAGTGCAGATGTGGAGAGGGCACTGGTTATGATAGGAGTTGTGTCACACTTCTATTGGTGGAGAGCTGTTGCATTATCATTTACAGGTGGCTATGCAGAAGCAGAAGGTGGAAGGCTAGTGATGAGAGTTGAAACTTTGTGCCAATAGAGGGCAGTACTAATCGAGAAAAGCAATTTTGTGAGAGGAGGTAAGTATCAATCTGAAATACATTTTCAGTTTAGGAAAGTGTTAACTTTCAATTATTCCAACAATCCAAGTATTTGAAATATTGCCATTATGATTTCTCATTATTATTTTTGATTAATTCAAGGTTGTTCAACTTAATCGATTAGTATCACAACTCACAAAAAATAACTGGATAATTGATTAATGAGTCCATCTGTTAATTGATTATCAAATTCTACTAATTTTCCAGTTTTACTATATAGATCTGGTTAATAGACTGTGTCAGAAAGTTTGAGATTTATTAATTATGAAGGTTGTTCAGTTTAACTGACAATTAAAAGAAGTGATTTTTCCTTCAGTAGTAGATCATATTTACTATATCCGTATTATTTCCTCATGATATAGCTAAAAGACATTATACTATTTTGTGGTGTGAAGATTCATTGATTAATTTTTGTAATTATTTTTTACCAGTTCATATCATTAATTTGATGATATTTTCAATGCCTCATTTTGTCAAATTCTGTACTTTACATACATGAAACTACTGACTATCTAACACATAATTTTTAGACTTTATAAGAGAGTCTGTAAATAATGATTACTAGAGATTTTAAATTATTATAAATCAATGAGATAAATGTTGGTGTTCCTTATTAACATTTGAAATATACTAATCTCAAAATTTTTATGTTCTGTGAGGCATAACTTCAGTGAACTTGGTTAGAAATTGTAAATATATTACAACATATTACTTGTTTTAGAAAACTAGGAAAAAGTAGAACTTTTTGTACATTATTTGATTTAAAAATTTCTCCAACTGACCATGAAGAATTTAAATTGTTTTACATCTACAATACTATGAATACCAACCCTAGCTACACTAAAATAACACTGAAGACTGGCTGACTAGCTGTAGATCTTGTTTAGTTCACTAAAGCTTTTGTGGTATTGGTGGAACTTGTCTAGGAAGGAAGGAAGTATTTACTAGTTCCTTTGACTTACCACAGAGTATGATGTCAACTTGTAACATTTGGTACTTATATGAAATGTTTCAAAGAGCTTAGGGCTAACATGTAGCATTAGGCACTTATGTGAAGTGTTTCTAAAAATATGGGGTTAACATGTAGAATTAGGTATTTATATTTAAATGTTTCAAAGAGCTTGGGGCTAACATGTAACATTAGGCACTTATGTGAAATATTTCTAAAGCTTTAACTGGTATTTATAATATAAATGTTTGTTTATAGGCTAGACTATATACATTTGTAAAATATTAACTATCTTGGTTGTGAATAAACTGCAACCACATATATATTTTGCAAGAATCATTTTGGTTAACGCAATATATGTGTATTTGTTAATTAAACCTTTAATTTGCTATTTAATGTAATTGATTTGATGATATATTTATTACTTCACCTTCTTTTAGTTGTTTCAGGATCACTTTAACGTGATTTTTAATATATTTTCAGTAGATCTTTTGCATTAATTCTTTATAGTGCTGTTTTTCAGAAATAAAATGCCATGAGTGTTTACTGACTTCTTTGATTAACAGTTTGTGAGAAAATACATTTATATTGAAGCTTTTTTATACCATTTTTATATAAGTATGTATATATTTCTATAATTTTTATTTTTACAGGATATTACACCAAAGCGATACACATCTTCTAGAAGGAGATCTTCAAATTGCTGTTCATTCAAAAAATTTCATTCTTGTGAATATAGTCAAAGAAGTAGTAGTCGAAGTTCAACCCATAGTGGTAGCAGTAGTGGAAGCAGTGGCAGTACTAGTTTTGGCAGCAGTAGCTGTGAGAGTGGCAGCAGTAGCAGCAGTAGTAGTTCAGATAGTGAATGTTCCTCTTACTCCTCAGATACAGAGTGTCCAGCTTATTACAATAAAGGACATTATCACTCTAGTAAAGAAGAAGAAAGGGTAAGAAAAGAAAGAGGATTGCCAGTAGTTTCAAAAGAAAGATCAGGAAATCAAGTTTCTTGTAACATAAAAACTGTAAATACTGATGAGTACAATAAAGGTATGGCTCACAAAAACTTTTCATACACAAAAGAATATATACCTATAAATGACAATGTACTTAATAGAGAGTGGACTGTTCATGAACATTCTCGTAACTACAGTAATATCAACAGTGACAGAAAAGATAACACAGAAGTGTCACAGCTTATATCTCCTGTTGCAGGTAAAATTTGTGAGAATAGTCCTTCCACTAGTTTATCAAACATTTCACTGTCAGAAAACAGAGAGAAGTCATATGTGACTTGCAAAAGCTTAAGTTGTGTGTCCCAGAAATGTAATTTTACTTTGTCAGTTGATCAGTCAGAATCAGAAGTGTGCGATGAACACCTAAAGTTAAGTTATCTCCGAAATTCATTTAAGTCTATGAAGCATGAAAAAAATAAATTAAGTTCAACAAAAGTATCCTTGTCTAAAGAAACTACTCATATGACTATTTCTAAACCATCCATATTGTCTAAAGAAAATTTGGAGAGGCCAAAGGGAGAAAGAAAAGAAAATGTTACATTGTCTTCTTCAAATGTTGAGAATGCTCCTGCATCATCGACAGCATCTGATGCAAAGTCTGGTGTGTCTCCTGATAGTGGTATCCAGTCTTGTGAAGAATCTCCAATGAGACAGCTTTGTGATAATGAAAACCATCCTCAGCCTTCTCAGTTGGTTTGTAATGAACATTTAACAGATAATATTGAGAATTACATACATTTTGATAAAAATGCAATTAGGGATGAAAATAATTTTGTTTCTCCTATACCTTCCCATGCTAGTTCTCAGTGTCTTAGTGAAATAAAGAAAACAAGGGAAAAAAATGAATCACTAGCACCCCAAACTTACCATCACGGTCATGATGGAACACAAAATACAGAAAGAATGATTGAACTCTTTACGTGTACATCACCTGCTTACCAAGAAACTTGTGGTGAAATAAAGACAAGAGGTAAAGCAGATTCCTCTAAATGTACATCTCTTCCGTATCCACAAAATGTTGATGAAGTGCATAAACAAGGGGGCAGAGTTGAACCTTCAAAAAACCAGTTTTCCTGTAAAACATTAATACCTATTGAAAAACTGGAAAATCATAAAACTGTAAAATTTTCTGAAAAGAATTTGGAGGCAAGACAAAATTCTATAGATAGTGCCATATCTGAAAGTGTTTCTAAAAGTACTGAACAAAAAAGTGTGTCAGAAAATACAGACAAAATATATTCATTGTCTAAACAAATTAGACAACCAACAGAGAACAATATTAATAAGAAAGTAGTAGCACGATCAAACATAAGGAAAAACAGAATAAAGAAGAATAGTGATAAAAGTGCCACTCAAGTTGTCAGTGATACTGAAGTATTTAAAATGACCAGAAATTCATATGCAAAAGCATTAGCTGCATCAGCTAGGTCTGAAAATTGCAAAGGTGACAGTGAGCTAGAAATGTTGGTTCAGAGTGTTCAAGAGAATATATGTAACCAGTTTCAAAATGTTGAATCAGATAGTCTGAGTGACTTTGAAGTTGCTAGTTGTTTGTCTGCAGAAAAAGAAAAACATGTGGGAAAATATCCAGTAGGCTGTGTAAAGAAAGGACCACCAAAAAACTTTAATAAATCACAAGAAAAACCGGAATTGGTGGAACTAGAAAATGTGCAATTTGAGGCCAGACCTAAGGATCCTGATGTCCAAAAGCAGCAAGTATCAAATGAAAATGCAGAAAATAATTCAACACAGGCTTTATCCAGCAATCCAAGAAACTCTGAAAAAAGTGAACTTGAAAACAATAAGACAGAGAATGAAACATTTGTGTCCAGTCAGGCTGCAGATGCAACAAGTCAAGAAAACCAGTTACAAACTGAATATTCAGAATTCTCCTCAAATAGTAAAACACAATTTAATAGTAGTGAAAATAGAAGACTAGTAAATTTAGTAAATAAAGAATCCACAGCAAAAGAATGTACAGAAAACAACATTTTGCCAGGAGATGTTGAACCTCACCAACAGAAACAGCACAGAACAAAAGCTGCAAGAAAAAGCTATGCAAACTTAGATAATCTTATCAGTAAGAATCCCAAAATTTTAGACAAAGATGTTGGAAGAAGTATAAGAAAACAAACACACTTGTCATCAGTTTCAAGTTTGACAACTTGTCAAAAAGGAAAATCTGTTGCTGATAAGCATAAGCTATCTATTAGAAAAAACTCTAGAACAAAAGGAAAACATCGAAATGGAGCAAATGTTGAAAACCAAAAACCAAAGTCATCAAAATCTAGAAAATTGCCTGGTACTGAAGAGTTAATGCAGAATGAATCAAAAGAAAGCACCGGCATACCACTAACACCAAAGAACTTGGCTACTAAAAAATCCACTTGTTTAAGTGAGAAAAAGTCTGAAGAAAGCAACAATAAAAGTGGCACTTCATTATATGAGCAAGTAAAAGATATAGTAGCTATTAGTGCAACAAAAAATGAACTTAAAACTGGATACCTAGTTAAAGAAAAATCTGTTAGAAAAAAAAAGAAAATAAAGCAAGGGAAAGGTAAAGGAATTTTTTTTGATAATGCTGACCTAGAAGCTTTAATTACTATTTTTAAAGTTTTTAGTATTTCAGGAAATCACCAAAAAATAACTGAAAAAACTGTGCCTTCCATGTTCCGAATTAAAAAATATCTGAAAGTTAAGAAATCCGATAAACTACAAAAATCTGACATAGAAACTCAAGGACTTAAACGTTGTTTTCATAAAGGTAAATCAGCTGTTACTCAATTATTAAAAGAAACAAATGCAAAGAAATTTAGAAAAAGAAATGTGCTTACCCAGAAAGAATTAGGATCTCGCTCTATTCGAGGTAAATCAACAACTCTAGAACAACATTTACCTTTAAAGAAAAGATATTTTCGATTAGGTGCTACACGGCAGAGTACTTCTGAGAAGTCTGCAATCAGTCAGATTTTGGATGTCTGTACAGAATTTTCTAGTAAATCTCAAAGAGTTGATACTTTACAAGGTGCTGGAAATACTATTGATGAAGCTATAGAAGCCTGTATAATAAGGTATACAACAGAAGAAACAAGTGATCAGAACAATAAGAGTCAGGAAACTTCTGTTGTGGAACATAATCTTTCCCGGTGTCATTCACAGACAAAATTAAACAATAAACAATTTCTTGTTAGAAAAAATCTGCCAAAGAAGAAGTTCACCATGAATACGAGGGGCCATAGACTTTTGAAAACCAGAACAAAAAACCTAAAGAGAAGAAAAGCAACTCTACGTTCAATTGAGGAGGCCATTGAAAGATGTGTACAAAAATATTCAAGTGATTTGTCATCTCTTCCTTTTGTAGGAGATGCGGGTATATCCTTTAAAGTTACTGAAGAGGCTAAAAAATTACACGTAGGAGAAGAAAGTAGTTCTGAAGATTTACCATTAGCAGAGCTTGTACGTGGGGAAGGTCAAGTTGAGAAAACTAAAACAGAGTTATCTTCATTAGGTTCCACTTCTGTGAATTCAAGTTCAGTGCAAGCTAAAAAGAGATCACAGCATGCATCTGCAACTTCAAGATTACAAAATCGATGCCTTCTAAATAGAAGATTACCAACTTTTAGTAGGAAAAGAAGAATAATTAACAGGACTGGGTTTGTTAAGAAGAAAAAGAAAAGGCCAAATCCTAATTTTATTGCTAAAAACCGTCCTATTACAAGGCAACAGACTTACAATTGGCGCATTAGAGCAGCAGCTAGACTTTCGTCTGCTTATAAACCTACTGCTGAGAAAGATTCAATTACAGAAGCTATTGATTCTGTAGTTAAAGGATTGAAAACCATTGGTTCAGTGCCAGAAACTAAACGGAAACCTAAAGAACCTGAGGTTCCAATAGCTAAGAGACTGAGGAAAGAAAGTGGGCCTGATAGTGAGAAAGTACCACAGTATCAGGCAAGGTAAGTTTATTTTGTATTTTCTACATTGTGTTTATGGCCAGTAGAGTTAGAATTTCATTGTAAACTTCCCTCTACACAAGCAAGCATATTGTACACTGTTAAATCCAGTTAGTTGTTTGTAGTTTACAGCAGGGAAAAACACAATAACTAATCTAATGTAAACTGGATTAAATCATTAAAGGACCATATAACATTTCCCAAATATAGACAATGAACTTAATCTCATCTAATAATAGAATCAGACTCTTGCATTGTTACCATTATTACTTACCTGGTTTTCCCAAATTAATAAACCCGTCTGAATAAATTGCTTGGAAAAACACTTGAACAAGTTGTATTTTTGAGTCCAAAATGTGCTTTATAAAACAGTATGTAATACCATATGTTAAACAATTTTATAGAGCTTTCACAATATTTGTAGCACTTCTAGAAATTACACTGCCATAAGTCCATCTTTAAATGTTCTCCTTTTGTAACACACCACACAGCTGATTTTATGAGGAAATCAAATATACTTTTACATATTTGCTTCATTGCTTGAAATTTTGAATATACACATTCCTGGTATATATAAGGTGGTAATTCAAAAATTAGAAACACATACAGAAGTAGAAATACTCAACAAATTAAGATTCATATCAGCAAGCTCTAAGTCATTAAACAAATTTCAATATTTCAAGGTTAAGACAAGTTAATAATTAATGAGTTGTTTCTAAAGAGAAATTTGTGACTGCTTTAACATGTTGACATGATGAAAATTAACTGCTAAGAGTATGGTTTAAAGTTTAAAAACCTCATTTTTTATGAACATAGTTTAACCTGCTGTAAGATATGTGACATATTATATAGTATTGAGCAACACAACATTGGCAGCTGGGATTTAAATTAACAGTGTTGTTTTTTTAGTTATTTTCATATAAGCAGTTATTTGGGTTTTCAAAACAAGTAAGGATAATTTACTCGATATTAATAGCCATGTGTCATTCAAGTTGTATTTGCATTACAAGTGCCTGTAAAGAAAAAAATATATGTAACATTAGTAGTCTTGAATTGCACATTTATATCTATTTATATTAATATCATTAGTAGTAAACTAAATTATTCTGACTGAAACTGAAAGAAACAATCCCCATTATTATTGTTTCTGACAATGTTAACAGAAAACTGTTTAGTAAATTTTTTAATACTCATGTATTGATTAAACTTGTGTACAGGCAAAGTACTATTTTACATGCTTTGATATTCAAAACTGTAATTTTTTCAATAATTCGGAGATTGTTTATTCTATTTGTACAACTAATGTTAAAAAATTCTCAAGTTACCAAATACTACAACATCTAAAAGTGAACATAAATCATTGTTGTCCAGCAGTCTGCAGTATCAATAATCTGTCATTTATTAGTTTGTTTTTATTCTTGTTTAGTGAGGGGATTAATTCAATTACATTATTGAAATGATGACTTTTGTTATGATTACTTATAAAAAATATAATACATAGGGTCATTTCATAGCCTCTGTTTTGTAACAAAGGTTATCATATTAAAATTTTAATATCTATGCTTAGAGTATTCACTAACCTTTAGTAAAACAGTAACTTAGATGTATGTTAGTTTCTTTAACTTTTACAGTGACAAACTTGCAATGTAGACTCAGTATAATTGATCTATTTTACAGAATTAACTCTAATTGCTACCCAAGAGTTAAAAAAAAACAATCTTTTAATTTTTTCTGATAACAGTGACCAAACTTAGATAATACCTATTTAATCACTAAGTACCACAACCTTAAAAGGTGGTTTATTGTATAATGTTCCCCACTACTTTTGAATATGCATCCATCCATAATTGACAATTAATTTCCAACACTGTTTTTATGTTATTAGTAATTTTGCCATCAACTGAAAATTTATAAACAAATAAATACAAACTATTTCGTCATGAAAAATCAGTTTTACCCAACTTACTGCCAGTATCATGTATTATATTTTGTACATGTTTTTTGCAATCATGTATATTGTTGGTTAGTGTTGCAGTTTTGCAAGTATAACATAGAAAGCATTTATAAAGCTGGGTAATTTAATTAATATAATTGATTACTTATAAATATTGATGACATTGATTAGCGTCACATAAATTACTTGCTTAATTGGACTTATGATAAAAATTTATTAATTTATTTATTTCAGAAATAATAACTGTATTCATTAATGTTGTATAAGCAGGCATAGATTGAAGGGAGGGTCCTGGAGCCCCCCCCCCCC